CGGCAGAGCCCGGGTAACAAAGCCCTGCGCTGCGGAGCCATTCCCGGTGCGAGCACGGGCAGACCGACTGTCTGAGCCGCTCCAGGCGAGACGGGGCGCTTTCTCCATAGAAATGGAGCAATAAAATACTGCCGGGCTAACTCGGGGCTTTTTTCTTTGACAGCCGGTAGAAATAGATATGATTGTAGGAAAAGACCGAGAGGGTTTCTTCACCAATGGTCTGACCCTCGGTGCGAAGAAGTGCTCTGTGATCAGAGATAGCCTGTACGTCGATGGCGACTGCACAATGGACATCAGGACAAAGAGTCAAGGTGGTGAGCCGACGTACAATGTTGCTGTAGGCAGAGCCGGCCGAGGTAAGCGTGGCTTTCTTCGCTTTCAGATCGCTGAATTAGGAATGTGACCGTAAGCGTAGAGCCCAGCAATTAAGAAGACCAGGGTCCTGTATTTAATGGCTATTTTCAGGAAGTGGCGTGAGGGGGTGGATGGCCGTGGTCTGGCTGACTAACTAGATTTCCGCCTCGGACTCGCGCTTGTCCCTGCTCCCCACCTGTGATGGCAGCTGGGCGCTAGGCTGTGCAGTGGTTAAGCACATCTCTGACAAACAGGAAAGAGCAGACTATGGCTTGACGTAAGCTCGCCAAGTACACGGTAACTCGGTATCTAGAGCTTACGGGAGGACACCGCAGGGATCTATTAATGATTGGCAGCAAAACTAGCTTTTGCTTTGTAAGCTTCTCAATGGGAAGTTTATTCTGCAAAGATGTGCATTCCTTATACGAGCTACTCCTACTTGCCTTTTAACAAGTTCTGCGCTAACTCCTCTCGCCCTTCCTATTGAGCTCTCTGAAGTCTGTCTTCAGGCAAAAAAGCCCATCCGATTTGGTATCGTTGAGAAACTTGCTTTATGCTAGTACGCCTGCTCCTGGTGCTCCTCATTTAACTTCTAGTAAAACCCTTCATGGGGAAGGCACTAGGTTTGGATATAAAAAACGTGCCTCAAAACGCTGGCTTACGAGTAGCACGCCTCGTGTTCAAAATATCTGGCCTGGCGTTTTTTGGCTGGCTGTGGAACAAATTGGTGAGCAACAGACTTTTGCTTATCAGTATAAAACCAAAACTAGAGCAAAATTTGTCCATAGGCCAAAGCCAGGTGGCAGCGATACAGGAAGAACGCTTCCGGCACTCAAGTGAAACAGGCAGAGTTCTGACTCTGCTGCTGATTGTGAAATGCCAACAAGAACTGTCTGTCTTAAGGTTTTTGTGAGCAAATTGCTATGGAGATACACAGTCACCTGTAGGCAAGCTGACTGCAGTATTTCCAATCACGGTATTCTGAGCTGGGGAAACAATTACGATGCTTGTGGAAGCAGCACAGCGTTTATTGTGTCTGTGTACCTGCTGGTGACCTCTGCTGGCAACTCGCGAGTGGTGTTTGCTGGTTGAGGAGCCTTCGGATGTTCTCAAAATTGTGGGAATAGAGAGAGGGTCAGCATTAAAATCTTCCCTGCGTTTTGTCTTATGCAAAAATCATGTTTTACAGTTGTATTGTTGCATGAAAAGTCTCAGCCCAAGTCTGACCCCATGGGCTGTTTGCTAGCATCGAGGCAGTTGCGCTGGTTCTTACGCCGGTGGCAGCCACAGCAGATAAGAATACAAGAATATTCCCTCTACCGCTCCTCAGAGTCACAGCTCTTTGCATATACCTCCACTTTTGTTCCTGACAACACTCCTTTTTTCCCGTTTTTTTAAGATGCAGCCAGGGTTTCCTGGCTGGGTGATGACGGGTGGTGCTGATGCTGGAGAGGCATGGTGATGCTTTTTTGAGATAGCTGGTGGCATTTTTCTTAGCAGTGAACTCTTGTGACTTACCTGGTTGTGTAAAACCCCTGAGGATAACTCACGCCTTCTCCCAGGCCCGTCTACATCCGTATTTTTACAAAGCTCCTGTTAAGCTAGCTTAATACCCAAATACTAAATCTTGAATTTGAGTGTGTTTATTGCACTGCCTAAAACTTGCATTATTTCCTTGTCTAACACACTCTTTTAAAACTTTTTTCTTTTCTCTTTCAGTCTTGGTCTTTGTAATGGGCAAAGAAGGGGTCCATGGAGGCGGATTGAATAAGAAGGCATACTCAATGGCAAAATACTTGAGAGACTCTGGGTTCTAGTTGCTAGGCAGACTGTTAAGTATTAGGGGAAGATTGCTATTAAACTTTCCTGGCGGTGAGCTTTAAACCTTACATTCTGGAAACTTTATTAGCAATGCAGGGTGATGGGGTATGAACCTGTGTCTCCTTTGTATCCCTTTGTTGGTGGGGAAAGGTGTTATTTTTTTTTTTTCTTTAATTCTGTTCATTTCTGTTTTGTTTCCTTGTGTACTCCAGCATTGGTTATAGTCATGGGAAAGGAAGGTGTCCATGGAGGGACACTCAACAAGAAAGCATATGAACTGGCTTTATACCTGAGGAGGTCTGACGTCTGAGCAGCCTCTCCCCATCCACCTAGCAACTGTCTTCACCACCACCCAGTTGTGTTCAGTGCTACCAGACTGTAGATGGTAGTTTGTGTTTTTTATTTACCCATTCCCTAATGTCATAATTCCAGTTACCCTTTGTTCATTTATATGTTAACCACTGTATGTAACCAAGCCCAGTACCTGGCACCATCACTGCACCACAAAGATGATATGCATGATACCTTGAAAAACTCTTGGGAGGGGAATATGCCAAGCGTAGGCTTTGCTTTGTCTTAGCAATTAGTGTGATATTGACAACTAAAACAACTTAAGTACTAAACAAGGTGCCGATTGTACAATCTAATTTGATCAATGCCTCTTCAGCACTTTGAGCAATTACACAGCTCACTAGTCTTCCTTTCATAGAGCATGGTTGGGAGGAAAAAAGTGCATGCATATCTTTACTTCTGTCCCTCTTTTTTTTTTTTTTTTTCTTAAAAAAATCCACGTTTGTTTGCTTACACCCATTTTTATAGTGCCTGGTTTGTTTAACCAATTTGCCACTCAAAAGCTATTAATGTTACATTAGTTTTGTCGTTGCACTTCACTGTAGGCTGAAGTCTTTTTATTTTTTCTTCACGATGTCTGAAGCTCGTACTGCTTAACAAGTGCAATCACAAAACTAAGGAAGGGTACAGATGCACTTCCTCCCATGACCTTAACAGCACCATCCCGAGTGAATCCCCAGAGACATTCCATCATTGCAATAGCTCAGGCACTTTTTTTTTTTTTTTTTTGCCAGCTCCTGTTCTGTAGTTGAGCTGTAAAAGGCTGCCATTGTGGACATTAGCTATCCCAACATAACCATCTGGAGTGTGTCTGGTTTCAGTTTTTCATAGGACCAATTTTAATTTGCAGCTTGGGGGTCGTGGGTATTTTTGTTTTTTCTGTTTTTTAATATGAAACTGCAATGTCATTGTGGAAAACTGCCACCTTCAGCTACACTGGGAGCGCTGACCGACTCTGGTCTTTCTGCCAGATCACTTACTGGTAAAGAGTTTTGCTGCTCTGAAGCCTGTTTGGATGAAGGTCGGTAGTTTGAAAGCTAAACTGTCAAAATTATGCCATTTCAAATTTAAAAATCTTTTCATTTGGCCTGTCACACCCTTGCTGCAGAAATCACGGAGTGAAATGCCTTGTGCACGAGTCATCTGAAATGTCTGTAACCAAATGCTGAGTTCAGGCACGGTACTCACCTGTATGTCCATTCAGAGAGAACTGCAGAACTCTGTATACAAAAGAATAAATGGGAGATGGTATTGGTTGGAATAACTGACTTGGCTGTCTTGTGATGAATTTTTTAATATGTATTCTGTGCCATACTATTGTTTAAAAAAAAAAAAATGAACTGTTGCTATTGTGAGATGGATTTTAACTGACTACGAGGGTTTCTTTCGAATGGCACTACTTTAGGGACATTCTAGTATTTGCTTCTATTGTTGGGCCTTGTGGATAATGTACAGATTTAAACAAATTCTTGTTGCTGATTTGTCCATTTCTTTCCCTGCACTTTGTTACATCTGGGATACAGTCTAACTCATCTGATTTAATATGCATTTCAAAAAATGCCATAACTATTAAAAACACCTTGTTTACAGACAGATGAAATAAATTTATTCCAACCAAACAAGATCAGACTGTTGGTGACTTTTTTTCCCCCCACAGGGATCCCCCGAGGCCCTCGCCGTGGCGTGGCTGACTGCGTGAGGCCAGAAGTGCAGTTTTTGGTTCTGTAGGGCAGCACTACTCTGCTGATACAACTTAGTCGAAGTCTGAGCAGTCTTTCGGGTAGACCTGAATTAGGAGATGATTTCTTGTCACTTAACTCCACATTTCTCTGACTCTGTGGAGGGGGTTCCCCTGCCCTGTGAATACCTGCTCTGCAGTCCCTGGAAGCGAAGCTGGAGGAGACCTTTGCCACGCAACCTGTTCCTCAGGGTGAGAATGTGCCCTCCTTGAAGAGGAGGGGAGGAGATCTAAGGTCTGTTACCCCGCAGAATCCCCCCTGCCTTTTGGCACTTCTGCCACCCACGAGCTCTGCAATGGGCCCTGTGCCCAAGTGCCTTCTGAAGGGCGGCACTGGTGAGATACAGTCGTGGCCAGTGGGGAAAAAGAGAAGCCCCAAGCGCAGGAGGTCGATCTGCAGCTCGGGCTGCGCCTTTCTGAGCCCTGACAGGGCCAGTTCTGTGCTGCCCGGGCACAGCCCTTAAATGCCTTTGTGCTCCCCCAGCTTCACCGTGTGTCGCAGCCGCTCCTCTCCGGTGCCTGCCCCGGCTGCTGTCCAGCTAAAGCCTTCACACACTACCTGTTTCTCTTCTCTGAGTACCTGAGCTGCTCGGTGTCCGAGCCGACCCTTCCCGCCCTGCTGGAACAGACCAGACCAGCCCCCGGCCCCGAGCAAGTGTAGTGCAGAGGGTGCAAACCTCTCACTTCCCCCATAACCTTACGTGAGTGCATGAATCCGTGTTTTGCTCTGCATCTAAGTGTTGTCTAATGAAGATTGCACTCTCAGTCTGACAGCAGGATTTTAGTTTGGTTTGCTAGGGGCGAGGGGATGGGGTGTCCCATTCCGTAGCTGGAATTCATGGCAATGGCAGCTGTGAGGTAGGAGTAGCCATCAGCAGCGCACACCAAGGATCTTCCATCCTGTTCCATCTTTATCTTACCATCGTTCCTGCTGGAGCAATTCCCCTCTCCTGAGCAGAGAGTGTCGTGCCACCACTGTGCTCTTCCCTGGCAAATGTTAGCTGTTGCTCACGTTACTTTTCCAAATGCATTTCTTGAATTTCCACAGCAGAATGGTGTCTCTCGACACCCGAGCTCGGGTCTACCTAAAATACCTTTCTTGAATAACCTGGACTCCCAACAAATTTTACATTTAACTCCCATTTCCAGATTAATAAACAATTTAAATACAAAGGGTTGTTTTCCCATGCTAAAGGTTTGAATGCTAATTGTGACCTAGGTCAGAAATGTGCATTAAATTTTTTTCCTTGCAAAAAATTACTGGAAGAGATACAGTGAAATACTGTCTCAGGCTTTACAAAGTTTCATGCGAGTAACCGATTTTACCTGCTGAATTCAGGTCCGATGCAGCACTGTGCACCTCCTGTCCTCCTCTCACCCCGGGCAGGATCGCACCCGCAGGGCTTCCTCACTCACGCAGCTCCAACCACTCCAGCGGGTGCAGAGCGCAGGCGGCTGTACCACCTCCCACCGTTCCACCACTCCGCAGGCAGTAAGAGGATTCGTACGTTGGGGCAGTGAAGATGCCCGACCTGTACAGTTCTCGTGGATTTTGTGCTCATGGTTTGTTCCCTCTTTACCCTCTTGCTAGTCCACGAAACACCCATTTCTGGAAGCTCTGCTCACGTACAGCTGGCTTCAAGAGCTGCTAGCTGCTCGGCTTCCAGTAGAGCTCTCCAACCCCCAAACTCACTCCCTAGGGTTGACAGCGCCTGCCCTTTTCTAAACAAGCTCTCGGGTTGCTCAGACTGTTCAGAAGAGCG